CCTGAGTCCTCCGGGAGAAGGGCGGGGTATAAATTTAATAAAACTAAAACTAAACTAATAAAACTGACGTCCAGGTTACATCAAAGCAATGTAAATTTTAGATGGTTAACACCAGAGGGGCTTATTGTGACTTGGCAGGAGAAGAGGTTTAGATTGGATACAGTGGAGAAAGTGGAAGACTTCTATAGGCAATACTGTGCCTCAGAGGAAGACTTGAGAGATCTTGGAGAAGAAAGAGCTATGGTTGAAAAAAGAAGAGATATTGAACGAATGTTGGATAAAAGAGGGACAGAGCAAAACATGGAGGGAGTGAGAGGGGGAAGAGGACAAGATAGGTTAGAACAACAAGGGAGAAGTTCAGAGGAGGCGAAGGAAATAAGAATTACTAGAAGCACAAAGACACGACAAAAACAGGATAATGGGAGAGGAGTATAGGATTTGGTCAACAAATATTAGGGGGCTGAACGCACCAGTTAAGCGTCGGAAAGTTTTTAGTAAGCTTATTAAACTAAATGCGGATATTATCGCGCTACAGGAGGTTCACATAAAAAATGATCAAGAATATCTATTAGAACAACCTAAATTAGGTAGGCTATATGTTTCACTAGACGAGAAAAAAAAAGAGGAATAGCTTTGTATGTTAAGCAGAAGATAACTTCGAAACAAATTTATAAAGACAAAGAGGGAAGGGTTTTGATAATTGAGGCTAAACTGAATTAAAAAAACATAATAATTGTTGTAATCTATGCCCCAAATGGAGCTCAAGTATCCTTTTTTAAAAATCTCCATAATAAGCTGAGTGACATAGAGGGAGATGGTTTTTGTATAATTGGGGATTTCAACGCGATCGCAGATAAAACAAAAGATCATAAAAGCACGGAGGCAAGGAAAGGAAATAAAAAAAAAACACTTCCCAAAACCTTTTTTGAGATGTGTACAGATCTTAGTTTACATGATGTTTGGAGGGAAAGGAATTATGATAAGAGGGAATACACATACTTTTCTAATAGACATAGTGTCAGGTTGACATCTGCTAACATTGGATGTTATTGCTTGAAACATAGATCATGGACTAGGATAGACATGCTATGGTTTTCAAAAGAATTAGACTCGGAAATCCAAGAAATTGATATAGAACCTAGTCTCTGGGCAGATCATAACCCTATAAGTTTTCGCTTGAAAGGACAAAGGAGCAGGCCAAGATGGACTCTCCAAAGAGCGATTCTCAAAGAAAAAGAATTTAAGGAAAGTATGGAGAAAGAAATGCACTTTTTCTTTCAAGCGAATGACAATGGGGATACATCCTTGCAGAACATCTGGGATACGGCTAAAGCATATATGAGGGGTGTAGCAATCTCATATATGGCTAAGAGAAACAAAGAGAAAAAACAATATAGGATGAGGCTTGAGGAAGAATATAAACAGGCCGAAATACAATTTCAGAGAGATCCTGAAAATAAAAGATTTAAAAACAAAATGGATCTAATTAAACATAAACTTTGTATAGAGGATTCGGAAAAGTTAGCACAAAAATTACAGGCAGCTAAGCAAAATATTTTTGAGCACGCGAACAAACCGGGTAGATGGCTGGCATATAAATTAAGAAGACAGAAAGAGAAGCTACGGATCATTAATTTGGAAGATGAGAAAGGAGAGATTCAGGGGGAGGAGACTATTAAAAGGGGAATAGCTCAAAGATATTATGAACAATTATATAAGAGGAATGAGGGGAAAAAAGTAGAAAGGATAATAGAATACTTAGAGAAGGCAGATATACCGAAGATACCGGAGGAAATAAAATTTACGTTAAATGAGGAAATAAGAATGACTGAAATAACCAGGGCTATAAGTAAACAAAAGATCAATAAGGCGACTGGCCCAGATGGAATACCAGCGGAACTATATAAAGAGCAACAAAGTGTACTTAATCAATACTTACTAGAAGTTTTTAACGCTGTATTAACTGAAGCTAGAATACCTAAGTCCTGGACAGAGGCAAATATAATATTGATACCAAAAGAAGAAGCGGAAAAAACACGGATACAAAATTATAGACCTATATCATTATTGAATTCTGATTATAAAATTTTTGCCTCAATAATGGCAGAGAGATTCAAAAATTATCTAATTGATTTTATACATTTTGATCAAAATGGGTTTCTACTAAGCAGAATATAAGAACAATTTTAGACATTCTTGAATTTTATGAGTCGCATAGCGATTGTCAAGTGGCACTTCTGTTCCTCGATGCACAGAAGGCTTTTGACAATGTCAATTGGCTATTTATGATCCAACAATTAAAATCAATGGATGTTGGGGAAAAAATTTTAAATGTGATAACCGCAATATATTCTGAACAAAAGGCCCAGATCATAATAAATGGAGAGGCCACTGATAAATTCAATATTCAGGAAGGCACAAGACAAGGATGTCCTCTCTCGCCATTGTTATTCATATATACATTAGAAATCCTAGCCAGAGTAGTAAGACAAGAAGAGCAGATTAAAGGATTTAGGATTAAGAAGGAAACATACAAACTTCAAGCTTACGCAGACGATTTAGCATTTATATTAGAAGACCCAGAACAATCAGGGCAGAAGCTATTCGAAATATTGGAAGAGTATGGAGATTTGGCAGGTTTGAAAATAAATAGAAATAAAACAAAGATTATTGCAAAAAATATGACTAATATACAAAAAGGAAACCTTGGGGGAAAATTAGGTATACAAATAGTTTCTAAAATAAAATATCTAGGGATAGTTATTTCAGCACGTTGCTCATCAATTAAAGAAGATAACTATGGCAAATTGGTAAAGAATATAAAAGTAGATTTAGACCGATGGAAAAATTTATATCTCTCATTTCTCGGGAGAATTGCAGCAGTGAAGATGAACATTCTACCTAAAATGATATTCCTGTTTCAGAACATTCCAATTCAATTAGACAAGAAATTCTTCAAGGAGTTGAATAAATTAACCTTAGAATTTGTGTGGTTAGGAAAGAAGGCAAGAATAAAATTAAAGGCATTACAGGATGCCAAAGAGAGAGGAGGTTTAGGTTTCCCAGATTGGGAGCTATATTACCAAGCAGCGGCCCTGACGTGGATCAGAGACTGGATTACTTTAGAAAATAAAAGATGTCTACACTTAGAGGGTTATGATCTCCAGCAGGGTTGGCATGCTCATATATGAACAGGGCAAAGTAGAAACCACCAGTACTTTTTGAGACATAAGGTTCGGCAAGAACTAATAAAAAGCTGGAATATAGTCAAACGCCAACACTATACAAAGATTCCAGTTTGGTTATCGCCACTAGAGGCAGTCACATATCCCAATCTGTATAGGAAAGATAAGGCTATTATATATAAAGACATCTTGACAGAAGAAGGTCACTTAAAACAAAAACAAGAGTTAAGACAACAAGGAATAGCCTTGGAATGGTGGTCCTATCTCCAGATACAAGCAAGATACATGAAGGATAAGCAAGAGTGGGGTATTAACAGACAAGACACGGGGTTAGATAAAATACTGCTAGGCCCAGAGAAAAAACAAATTAAGTATATTTATAAATACTTGTTGGAATGTAAGCTATATGAGGAGCAGGTTAAAGAAGCAATGGTGACATGGGCAATGGATTTAGGATATAATATAAATATGGATCAATGGCAGCAAGTATGGGAATGAAATAACAAAATTACACTGGCGACATCATATAAAGAAAACCTGTATAAGATGGTTTACAGATGGCATTTGCCTCCGGCCAGATTAGCCAAAATGTATAACGGATACTCACCTATGTGCTGGAAGTGCAAAAAAGAAAAGGGCACATTTTTTCATGTATGGTGGACATGTAGAGAAGCAGAGGGGTACTGGCTTATGGTCTGGGAATGGGTAATAGAAATGACTAGGCAAAGCATCCAATATAAACCTGAGACATTATTATTAGGAATATTAGGAAAAAACGTAAATAAAGGTGACACATATCTAATCATACACGTGGTAACAGCGGCAAGGATACTATTTGCTCAAAAGTGGAAAGCAATGGAAGCACCGAGTGGGGAAGCACTAATAAAGAAAATTATGTATTGCGCAGAACTAGACAAGATAACTGAAAGACTAAAAAATCAGGAAGAAACAGAATTTTATCGAATCTGGAATAAATTCTAAAAATGGAGGGAAAAAAGAATGGGGTCAACAGCAAAGATATAAATAGAGGCAGATACTAAGAATGTACAGCTGTATATAGATATATCATATGTAGTTAATGTATAGTATGGACTGACAAGACAGAGATGTATATCAAAGACAATTTACCATGTTCAATGTGTTTAATCTTTTTTCTTTCTTTTGTATTCAATAACATTTTTTTTTAAAAAGTACCTAGCTAATGACAACCTTCAAGGCTAGCTCTTTCCAAATGCACTATTTTTAATTTTCTCATAGGACTTCTGTATCTCTGAAAGCTAGACAGCAGATAAACTACTGGAGCTCTATGAATTAGAACAATGCAATGAGAGAACTTCATAAGGCCTGTATTTTGCCATCTTTCTTGCCACTAAAGTATTAGTAGGGAAGGGAGGGACACTTGCATGTTCCATGAGTCCTATATTCCCACTACTGTTGCTATTGTAATATTGTGTTAGTGTGTGCTGAGAAACAAATGTCACTGAGCTGAAGGATAAAAGATCCACAAAGAAAAGGTTTGTGCAATCAATTTATGAACAAGAGGCAAAAAGAGTTTGAAAGTAATAGACTAAATCAGGGGTGTCAAACTGCCGGCCCGCAGGCCGGATGTGTCATGGCGAAACCGCGCCCACCCCATTTCCGGCAATGGGAAAAAAGGCGCAATACATCACGACACATCACGTGATGTTGTGAGTTTAACACCCCTGGACTAAATGATAAACTTCCTGGGATATGAATCCCTGTGCTATACTATTTCTAAAAGAGGTAAATACTTCATTTCTATGTTTATGAAGAGATACATTTCTTGATACCTACCTTCATCTTCCCAGCAACTGTTTGCACTTCCTTCTCTTTCGTATTCTGGTAATACTGCTTGGTCTTTTGGCAAGTCATTGTCTAGCATGCTATTATCACAATCTGTTCCATCTACTAGACTTTCTTCAACAATGTGCAATTTGTCTTCATAATCTGAATTAGTTTCTACAACATTATTGTAGCTGGTAACTGCAGAGACACAAGGAGAAAAGATCAATGCATCTACAGCTGTTCAGGAATGATTCATCACTAATAAGAGTACTGATAATTAGATATAACTACTGTATTGAGTTCAGTCCTCAATTCTAAATATAGAGAAACATACTATAACTCTCACTGAGGCAATTAAGTATAGTATATTCTTCGCACACGTATAATGTAGTTGGACTTCTTACAAATCCAATAAATAAAGGTAAAGTTTTCCCCTGTCCAGTCATTTCTGACTCTAGGGGGCAGTGTTCATCTCCATTTCCTAGCTGAGGGAGCCATTGTTGTCCGAAGACATTTCTGTGGTCATGTGGCCAGCATGACTATACACCAAGGTGCACAGAATGCTGTTACCTTCCTACCGAAGTGGTACCTATTTATCTACTTTCATTTGCATGCTTTTGAACTGCTAGGTGGGCAGGATAAATGAACAAACAAAAACTTTGTCATGTGTTCCAGAGATGAGAACATTCATTCAAAACATGACTTGGGGTGTCTCCATACCAGCTATCTTCTGGGAGAGAATTTGGGAAAGTTCTTTTTTATAACAAGTTTTATTAATTTTTCATTTTTTACATCCAAGTAATTAGGAAGCAGCATGGTGATAGAGTAATCAATAGTCCAATAACAAAATCATTCATATATATGTCAGGTTACATCATTAAGGTTCCCTCTCTATTTCCCTTAATTATTATATCATATTCAAGTTAATACATTTCTAGATAAAGATCAATCAATCAATACATTTATCAATACAATTTTACTTATACATATCCAAGTCCTGTTTTTAGGTTTTACTTAATTCCAATTACCATGTTCCAATTTAGCCTTTAATAACCATAATATTTAAACTTCGGGTAACCCTAATTTCCCTCATTTCATTACAAGATAATTATCATATCTAGAGTACACATATTGTTCCGAAGATTACATTCTTACTGTATTTCACATATATATTCTATTTCTCGTCCTGGTAGCTCCTCATTTACTAATAAAATACCTTTCATTGTCACAAACCCATTTCCATATTACAATTCAAAGCTATAATCTAACAGTTAATTTTCATTTCCATTATAAATCTAAATCCTAAATATTAAATCAATCAATATCTCTAAAAATCTCCTTAACCCATTAAGTGAAATTTTAAGTCCCATTTTTAAATCTAACTCTGGCTTTCTTTTTGTGCCAAGCAGGCTTCCATACGAGAGCCTTTAAATCCTCAGATGAATCTCCCTTCATTCCTACACATGTTGTTTGAATCAAGGGAGAACATCCAGTTATCAATTTTTCAAAGGAACTGGCCCCTTTATAGTTATTAGGTTGTTGCCCTAATAATTCAAATCTCCATGTTTGGTTTGGAATTTTTATCATCAGTTATGTCAATGCTGCAAATACTGTATATTCTTGCTTTGACAAAATATGCAGAACTGTCTGGTATTTTTTAGAGTTAATTCAGATGATGGTGGGGGGGAGGAGAAAGATAGGACTGTGGGCAGGAAAAGAATGGAAGAGAACCTCTGCCCTTCCACCTGATAGGAGAACGTGATATATGACAGCAAATTTAGGGAGGGAACATGCTGGTAAATTAATTGCTCAGGGGAAGAGAATTTCAGATCTTAGCATCACCTTCGTTATGCCTGTGCCGACATTTTGTAACAATAAATTACTTTTAGGAAAATCAATGCCTGGAAGTTCTTTGAAGTGTTTCAGTAGCCGGAACCATAACATCATGCTAAAATCTCAAATCCTTTCCAGACGACCTGGGGTCCTGAACTCCGTCCACTGCCTCTAACCTTGAGAGGAGTTGGTAAAGATTCAGGGGAAGAAAATCTATCATGAGAAAAGGGAGTTTACTTGAAGACGGCACGCTGTGGGAAGATGAATTTTGGCAGACAAATACAAATCAGTGGAGCGGCAGCCAGCCAGCCGAGGGAGAAAGAATTTGGCAGATCTCCCAGCCGAGAGCAAAGACTTCAAAAGCAGAATGCAGAGATAACGAAGTTTTGGGTGAGCCGCTGGAAAGATTTCAAAACCCAGAAGTGAAAAGCAGAACTCAATTCCTGGAGAGAGGAGCCTATACCCCTCCCATGGCCCAGCAGAAAGCCCGTCAGATCCTGTCTTCCCCTGCCAGGGACCCCAACCCTGAAGACAGAGGGAATCCCAGACTGAGGCCTCTGCAGCAATGGGCAGATTGGCACCCCCCACAGATAGATGATCAGCAGCAACTGACCTTGCCACAACTAACAGAGGCCTTGCAACAGCTTGGGGTGGTGCAGAAACCAGGAGATCAGCAGCTGGTGGGAGACCGACCACAGCAGGGAGATTGGCCACAGCCCCTGAACGTGCAACCCCTGGGCATAAATCTGCAACCAGGATGGGGCCAGCAGCAACAGCCTGTAATGGCACCACCTTTCAAAGCAACCTTCGATGGGGACCCAGAGAAGTTGACTTTTTTTCTCAACCAAGTGCGTTCTCACTTGAATCGCTGGGCCTATCTCTACACGGAGCCAGGTGCCATGGTCGATCTCATAGCAGCCAACCTAGAGGGAGAAGCATCTGAATGGCTGAACAATCTATATAATGAGCAAGCCCCCAAACTGGGAGATCCCCACCTTTTCATCCTAGGACTGAGAGAAAGATTTGAGGACCCATCCATAGGCCTCAAGGCAGCAGAACAGATCCACAAAATAAAACAAGCCGGCAAGCCTGCCCTGGAGTACGTGCGAGAGTTCTGCAACACAGCAGGTCGAATAGAGGGGTGGCCTGAGCAGTCCCTAATCCATTACTTCATCGAGGGGTTAGACGATCACCTCTCTCAGGCCTGCATCTATCGAGAAGTACCTGATAGGCTACAGGAGTGGTACCAGACAGCAGTGAAGCTAGACGTTAAGCTCTCTCGTTATAAGAAGCCTCCCCCACATGGACCCGAGCAGCAACAAGAGCTACCCGGACAGCAATCACCCCCACAAAAGCCTTCAACTACTGCAATGGCTGAGAGACCCAGGTCACCTACACGCCCATCATTTAAGAGTTTTCGGTGTGGACAAGAAGGACATTGAGTGGTCACCTGTCCAGTCCCCTACCCCCGACTGCAGAGCAGACCAGAACCAGCAATGAGAAAGAAACCTGCTCAGCGGCTAACGAGAGAAAAATCCAACCGGCTCACGCAGGAACCTGTTGCCCAGATTATACCCCCCACGCAGGAGAACACCGAGACTCCAGGTGGACCAGCCCCTGCTCTACCCTCCTTTGACAGCGACGATGAAGGAGAAAACGACCCGATGGTGAGTCGACAAATCCCGCCTTTTTCGCTGGCCACCAAACTTATAATCTGTAAGTCTGGGGCACAAATGGACTTAAACGTGCTAATTGATTCGGGATGCACCCGCTGCATTATTAGTCTGCCGTTTGCCTTGAAAATGGGCATACAGGAAAAACAGCTTTCCAAACCTGTGAGGTTTGAGCTAGCCGATGGCTCCCTGATGGGAGGGACTCTTCTCACACAATTAACCGAGCCCCTACACCTAGAAATAGGTGCACACTGGGAGTTTATTCGCTTCCTGGTGGCTCCAAAAATGACTGAGGCGGTGATCCTAGGGCTAGCCTGGTTAGACAAATGGAAGCCGTTTATCTGGTGGGAGAAAGGAATGAGAACCATGAGACTACCTATAGGGCCTAATCCCCCCATTGATTCAAAAATGTTGCAGGGCACCTTAGGCCACCCAATGAGCAAGCGCACATGGCCGCCTCACCGCCTCCAGGAGAACCAGTCATCCCCAATGAATACCGGGACCTGGCAGAGTCATTTAGTGAAAAAGAATGTGATGCCCTACCCCCTCACAGACCCAATGACTGCTCCATCGAACTGGTGCCAGGAGCCAAACTCCCACGACCGAGAATGTATGCTATGTCCCCCCTTGAAATGGAGGAGATGCAGCAATACGTGAACAAAAACCTAGCGAGGGGGTTCATCGAACGGGCCAAATCTACCGTGGAAGCCCCTGTGTTGTTCAAAGAGAAAAAAGATGGGTCTCTTCATCTCTGCGTAGACTATAAGGGTCTCAATGCTGTGAGTGTGGAAAATAAATACCCCCTCCCCCTCCTAAAGGACTTATTAACCCATCTGGCTAAGGGGAGTGTCTTCACTAAATTAGACCTGAGAGAGGCATATTACTGGGTGAGAATAAAAGAGGGAGACGAGTGGAAAACTGCCTTCAACTGTCCTATGGGGAGCTATCAGTTCAAAGTCATGCCATTTGGACTACAGGGGGCCCCAGTTGTATTTATGCAGTTGATTAATGAGATCCTACATGATCACTTGTACAAAGGGGTTTTGGTGTATCTTGATGATATCCTGATATACAGCATGAATATGACTGATCACATAAAGCTGGTGAGAGAAGTGTTAAAGAAACTATTGAATGCCAAGCTTTATGCCAAATTGTCGAAATGTGAATTTCACCAGACCCGATTAGATTATCTTGGCTACAGAATTTCCAACGAGGGTATTGACATGGATCCAGCCAAGGTGAAAGCTATAATCGAATGGCAGCCCCCAAAGACTCGCAAACAGCTCCAGAGCTTTCTGGGTTTTGCCAACTTTTATCGTCAATTCATCCCCTCTTTTTCTGAGATTGCCCTACCCCTTACAGAACTACTCAAAACAGACAAAGGAGGAGGGAAGCCACGACCAGGCCAACCACTAGCATGGACAATGGGCTGTCAAACAGCTTTTGAGAATTTAAAGAGACTATTTGCTGCTGAACTGGTCCTAAAGCACCCCTGCCCAGGGGAACCCTTTGTGATTCAAGTCGACGCCAGCGATGTGGCAGTTGGAGCTGTGTTACTGCAAAAGAACAAAAGTGAGATCCTGCAACCCTGCGCCTACACCTTTAAGAAATTTACTGAGAGCGAGCGGTGATGGGCAATCTGGGAGAAAGAGGCCTTTGCGATTAGATGGGCGCTATTAAACTGGGGACACT